TGCAGAATGGCCTCAAACATGCTCTCTGAAGTCCAGGCTTGTACTCCAGCACAGCAGTGAGCCCATGAGTGTGCAGAGGATGCTCACCTGCCCTGTCAGAGAGCAGAATCCAGCTGTTGGATGGTCCGTGGCACAGACATTGCAAACCACTTTTTTGGATCACTCACACATCTGGAAAGAAAGGCATGGAGAAGGTTAGATCATAGACATTTTCCACAGCAAATTAGTTAGCATTAACTGCAGGAAAAAATTATTTGTGAGGAGAACTGTCCAGGAAACCAATTAAAATTGGACTGGGGGGGTGGGTATTCAGAGAACTGTGTGGGAAGCTGTGTGCATAACTTCCAATGAAGTCAGTGTTCAGAGGGGCATCCTGGGGGATGGATGGGCCATAAGAAAATGTCTTTAAGCATTGTCACCTTTATCTGGGTGAATATGAAACCTGTCACTTATTACCTGATGACTGTGCTCATAGCCTGGTTAAAAACTGGGATAAGAAACCACGGTGAAAAAAGAAAAGAAAAGAAAAGAAAAGAAAAGAAAAGAAAAGAAAAGAAAAGAAAAGAAAAGAAAAGAAAAGAAAAGAAAAGAAAAGAAAAGAAAATAAAAGAAAAGAAAAGAAAAGAAAAGAAAAGAAAAGAAAAGAAAAGAAAAGAAAAGAAAAGAAAAGAAAAGAAAAGAAAAGAAAAGAAAAGAAAAGAAAAGAAAAGAAAAGAAAAGAAAAGAAAAGAAAAGAAAAGAAAAGAAAAGAAAAGAAAAGAAAAGAAAAGAAATTAAACCAAAGCTACCACCACCAAAATCAACCAATCAACCAAGCCAGTGAGTGGGAGGGGGGCAGGCTACACACTAATGCTTTACATTTCTGCCCCAAGCTTTTCACACAGCTCACAAACCTTCAGAAAAGTGGACAAATGTGACTCAATTTTGAATAATTACTATGATAAAGAAATGAAATTACTTTTCCAAGGAGTCCCAATGCTCTCCCCATTAAAATTGGGGATGAATGCGTGTGCTTCTTTCCTTGCTTTGTTCTTGAATCTATTTGCAGAAACCAGTGGTGGTTTCAGTAGAGGACAAAATGTACTTTTTAGTGACTTTGTTGCTCATCTGACCCAACTCCTCATGCTGATGTTCCCATTTTATTTTGGGAGCTATCATGTTGTGGTGCTTAAAAGGTAGCTTGTGCTTCCTCTAGTTGTATCTCTTTTTTTAAAATAAATAAAACTCCTCAGACTCCACAGAAACTATCACAGCACTTTTTCTCTGCAGTAAATTATGACCAAATAACAAAATGTTTCAAACTCTCAAAGGCTGTAACTAAATACAGCCAGCAATCCCCTACTTTCTGAATCACTGCAAGAAAGCCAAGTTCTCTGTGGTGGCTCAGCAGATCAAGGGCACTTAGTCATGAGTGAACAGGCATGATCACTGCACTGTGGCTGCATTGTGTTGGGACAGTGCTGTCCACAGGTCGGGGTGGGGAATGCTTCAAACCAAGCCAAGCAGTTCCTGTGCCTGAAATGCCTTCCTTGAGAGCATAGAGCCCTTCCAGAGGACAGGCATAAACTGCGCTGGTTGTTTTCTGTGTGCCTCGGAGGCCAGATAAACGTCTGTATTTACAAAGGACCACGAAACAAACTCTGTGAGAGGAGCTCTACTGCTGCATGAGCTCCCTGTGCCAAGCTCACGGAGCCTGGGAAGGTCTGTGATGGAGGTCCAGCACAGGGGAGCTGCTGGGAAGAGCTGTCAGCATTTGATGTCTCTTAACCACTTTTAAGTTCTGTAGTAAACACGGGGACTGCTGTAAAACCAGAGCGGTGGTGGGGTGCCAAACCTGTGCTCCCCTTGGAGGTCTTGGGCAGGAACAAAGTTTCAGACTGTGCTGGTTGGGTCTGGGAGGCAGGACTGCTGCTCAGGGCACGCCTGAGTGAGGCCACCATGCCCTGGTGTCACACTCTGGTCCCACTCATTTCTTTGTAGTTCTGAGTTGTATTTGACCTCTCCAACTGAAACCCTGGAAACTGCCTTTCAGGAGATTTCAGCCAAATTTATGTGTTTAAATGTAATCAATTGTATTGCTCATAGTAAAAAATCTTTTGGAATTTCTTCTGAGAAGACCTAGGACCGCTATGGCTCACAGAGGAAAAAGTGGAAATTTGGAAGGGCATCCTCTGCATAGTGAGTGCTCTTTTATCACCTTGAGGAACATCTGGGCATGCAGTAAGCCTCTGAAAAATCACACTAATTTAATGGAATCTACTTTATCAGCAAAAGCCTCATTATGGTTCAGCTCCTGTGCATGAGTGGACTTTCTGTGCACATCCCACCAACTTCCAGACCCTGCCATCTGAGCAGGCTCATGCTCAGAGGTGATGAAGGCAAAGGATGATTTTCCCCACAGCTCCTGCTTAGCCAGGAGCTCAGGAAAAGACACTGGAATGGGGTGGTGTGAAGAAAAGTGAGGAGGAAGCTGCCCCACTCTGTTCCTGCTGGGAGGTGGGCAGAGAGCAGGAGGAATGGGGGATGCTGGGGATGCTGAGGGGAGAGCACTGCCCAGCAGTGGAAAAGTTGGGATAAAGGGCTTGGAGAAACACAAGATCAATGGCTGTGAGGCAGGATGTGGAGAAAGAAATCCAAGAGATTTCTGAGACAAGAGGTTGGTGGGGAAAGGTGCTGTGAGGGAGGTGAGTTCTGGGATTAGCTGGGAATAGGGAGAGCAAAAGAAACAGAGCTGAAAGGACATGAATGCAAGAGTGCAGCCTTCCTAGAGGTCATTCAGTAAAACATGAAATACCGAAGTTTGAGCATTATTTCTTTTCTCCTCCAGGATTTGGTGTCATGGACATTAGAAAATGCCAGGATAAGTTCTGATTCTTAGGTCCTGACCCCTGCAGGGGTACTTGAGACTAGTTAAACATTTAGGGTTTAACTGTCTGAGAAACTGAAAACTCTGGGAGATCTTGTAACCCCGTCCACAAGAAAGGCAAAGGTGCTCTAGTTTGTCTCAGAAATGGGCATCTTCAGGATTTATTTTCCTTTGGGTGAGAAACTGAAAACTCTGGGAGATCTTACCCCCCACCATAAGAAAGGCAAAACTCCTCTAGTTTGTCTCAGAAATGGGCATCTTCAGGATTTATTTTCCTGCAAAGCTGAGAGCTCAAAAAAGTATTGCATTCAGCTTGGTGGAGTCTGCAGCGCCGACTTTCAAACCAGTCTGTGAAGCACAGGCTCCACACACAGATTTTGTAAGATCTGTGCAAAAGTTTTTCAGAAAAACAGGACTTTTGCTTAAACTCACTACAATTGCAGGTTTTGCCTATAGGAAACTAGGAAAAAAATTACAAGTCTTCAATGGACAGTGGAAGGATACAGGGCAGACCAGAGACACTTCAAAATCAGTTTTCCTCTTATGAGGAGGCCACTTCTGTGGAGCCAAGGTTAAGCACTTGGGTTTTTGGTTTGGTTTATGCTCTTTGGGCCCCTGTCTGCCAAGGCTCATCCTTTTTCATGAAGATAAATTGCCTCTGACCACCAGAGACTTCAGTTTTAGTTCCAGCTGGGATACGCTGGTAATCCTGAGATACAAAATTGTCTTCTGAATATATTGCAGTTAACTTCAGTTGTATAAATCCAAGCATTAGCTGGATACTATAAATAGGCAGGATGTGCAAGGAGGCCAAGTCAGAAATGTGCAGAAACCCTGCCTTTTTTCCTTAGTGTTATGCTTCATCATGTACTATATTTTTCATCTGCAAAGGAAACAGCATGCACGTGCTTTGTGGCTGTTGTAATTAACTGGACATAATGAAGTGTTGAATTTCACACTCCAGAGAAGTAGATTGGGAAGGATGGGTAATTTTTTGTCAAGTTTTTCCGCTTTTAGTATTTTTTTGGAGGTAATTTTCTGCAAGATTGGGTTGGGAGCAGGAGTACATCTGGTTTATATTACATGATGGCTGTACTTTGGCAATGGAAAAAGATGGCACTTAAAAAAAAGGAAAAGAATAAAAAAGAAAAGTTTGGCAACTACAGAACAGAGCAACAATTACAAGAACTATCTTAAAATTCCCAGGATTTGTGATTTATTTTTCCGTGCTTGCATTTTTCTGATGTTGCTGGTGTTAAAGGAGTGGGACAGAGGAAATTCAGTTGGACTTTGCAAAGTTCAGCTATCTCTGTGAAACAATTCCCTTTACTCAGGTTGCCCACACAGCAGCTGCTGCGATTTGAACACGGAAGGGATAAAAGCAAGAAAAAGGGATAAAAGCAAGAAAAAGTGATAGATCATGACTTTTTTTATCGTGTTTCCTTCAGCCAGACATGAAGTCTTGAAGGGGGTATCTCTCTTAGCTGGTCTCATCTGTGGGGACGAGGCAGAAGCAGGATTAATGCGGATGGCTTTGGAAACAGAGCCCTGTGAGGCATCTTTGTGGTGGGAGAGGGGGAAATTTATTCCAGCAACACAACAGCACCTGGTGGTGCAGTGGTCAGTTTGCAGCCTCTGCATATCCACCCAGAAAAACAGGTTTTGCCCCCTCACACAGGCAGGAGCACAAAGAGCTGAGGCTCTGCTGGTGCTGAGGCCATCAGGCTCTGGGTTGGGAGCCCAGGGCAGTGAGCTGGGCTTGGCTGGGCAGCCTGGGACCTGCGAGCACCTTCCCAGGGCTGCTCCTTACTCCCTCCAGTTTGGAGAGTGCAGGGGTTCTGGGAATGGGCACCTTGGGAATCTGCTTCCTCTGGGAGCTTTTCTCACCCCCAGGTTGTTCAGCTACTGAGTAACCTGAAATAGAACACTGGAACAAAAATATGTTCTGAGTGATCTTTAAGTAAAAGCTAATGTGATAATGTGGGAGTTTGGACCAATGTAAACACATTACATCTAAAACAATTTTCAGATGTAGTAAATAAAAAAAAAATTGTTCCTGCTCTTGAAATTCCCAAAAAACACATTTTCCTTTTGACTCATGATTTAGATTATATTTTATTAGACATTTTTTACAAATTTTAAAATACTGCTATTATACATGCACAAAGGAAAATCAGTTTGAACAATTTTATGTAGGCATTCATTGAAATCAACCACAAAACAGGAACATTTTATGTCAGTTATCAATGTACTCAATATGTATATCTAAAGTGCATTATGTTACAAAAAATATAGAAAGTCAGCAGCACCAAGATACGTTCACAAAATAAATACACCAGTCAACAAAATAAATTATGGTAAATGTGACAATAATAATTGTCTTAGCCTTAGCCAAAAAAAAAAAAAAAAAGGAAATTTCACAATAACCAAATGTGCAGTTTCAGAGAGCAATGGGGGGAAAAGGTTTTATTCTGAGCATTTACAATATTTACAGGTAATAAATATTTTAATACTTCCCATATGTTCACTATTACAGAATACTGCAATGTGTCTTCCAAATATCTCTTGCTGAAAATGTCAGCGCCTCCTGCAAAGAAAAGAAAGGACAAGAAAAACAGAAAAATTAATTAATTTTCATTTTTCCACTTCAAAAGTGTGGACACAGAATCAATACCAAGAGTGCCACAGACTGTAACAGGTGTGCCTTGCTAGTAACCTTCTGCTAAAACAGGGCCTGTTTGACCATGCCACAGTTTTAGACATTTATTCAAGATCTCTGTTATGTTTTTCTCAATGGAGCTCCTCTAGAATTGTGCTGACCCACAGTTTGTCACACACTGAGGCCATTGTACCCTCAGAGGAATGGAAAGGGGCTTTATTATTATTTAGAGCCACCTGCAAGAAGATACCTGAGCACTACAGGCAGAAGAATTGTATCACCCTATGATAAAAATGTCAAGTGCTGAAAAGAAAAAAATACAGTTGGAGAAAAGCAAAAATAATTTTGAGCCCTTGTTAACGCTGTGGCGATGCTGTGTTGGCTGCTGGGGTGTGATGCCATTTTCTGATGAAAACAGTGCCATGGGGCTCATTTGCTCTCTTTTTCCCACTGAGAGACAGCCCTTAGGCAGGGGGATGTTTGTGTGTGTGAGCAAAGGCTGCTCAGGGCTTGGAGGTAAAACAGTGCCATGGGGCTTATTTGGTCTTTTTTTCCCACTGAGAGACAGCCCTTAGACAGGGGGATGTGGTGTGTGTGAGCAAAGGCTGCTCAGGGCTTGGAGGCAGCACACCATTCATGGCATCTCTTCCTGTGCCTGGCTGAGTGAAAAGGCTCTAATCCTGAAACTTTCCCTCTGGGAGACAGAGAGCTTGATCCTGAAATAAAGCAACCATCCCATCCTGTTACCCTGCAGCTCCTGATCAGTTCAGCCCTGCTGAAGCAACCAGCTGCACCCAGTCCTGAGGCCTGGGAGGTCTCCAGGGGATGCTGCAGGCTGGTGTGAGCTCTCTCCCCATGAGAACAGAGCAGAGCCAGTGGATTCCTTGTGCTCCCACATGAAGTCTCTCAGAGGTGCTGCAGGAAATGCTGAAGGGTTGGGCTTTTTTTCCCTGGGAAACACCTAAGATATAGGATGGAGTGGGATTCTCTCTGCTGCAGGGCTGATCACCAGAGCTGGGGGTAACATCCCATGTGGCAAAAGTGTGTGGGTGTGAGGCACAAGAAAGCTCAGCTCCTGGAGAGTTTAAAGGGTTTTCTTAACATGCACATTGAAAGAGAGGCTACATCTCTCATTTGGGAGTTTACACATTCAAAAGGTATTGTTTTTTTTGTTTTGTTTTGTTTTGTTTTTTTTAATTCAGTAAGAGTACCTTAATTTAATTTAAATGGGAATATAGATGGAATGTTCATGAGAAATAACTTTTAAAGTGCCTGGAATGTAAATGCTAGCATGATGCTCCTTGATAATTAGCTAGCAACAATACTAGGGTCCATTTCAGGATATATTCCAACAGGTGTTACAATGGCACATAATTCATACAGCATGGCTGTGCATGTCTGCATTACTCAGGCCTATTTCTGAGAGGGTGACATTTTCAATTTAACCTGGATTTTAGGCTTGGTTTTAAAGTTTAAGCTAAGCCACATCTTGACAGTGGGCTCTGTACTAAAGATAATTTGCAAGCTGCATTCTGTGATTTGGACTTAGGTTTTGCAAGATTGGTTTCTTCCACGAGATACTTCTTGTAGTAAGTTAAAAGATCTAGAGTTAATATTTTTGCTGTCCATTTTTTCTTTTTTTGGACCTAAACCCAAAATTTTGTTTTCAAGACTGATCAGAGAGTATTGGCATGAAGATTTATTCCAGGGTGTTCAGCAGAAAAGAAGCATAGAGCTACAGTGAAAATCATGCTTAAAGTTTACATCTTTTGCCAGCCTACTGAGACAAGTAAAAACTCAGGTACTAGAAGCTTCTTAGGGCTGAACCCATATATTCTCAGTACTTGTGAAGAAGGAATTCCCTTTTCCTTTATTAACAAACTCTCCTTGTTTAATCATCTCCAATTAATTATCTAAAATATAGGCTCTCTTTAGGAATCTCTGAGAAATGCTGCATTTGGATGTTGGACCCCACAGTAAAGCTGAGAGCCTTCAGCCATCCAGACACACTTTAAACAGAAAGGCTGGACTAGGAAAATCAATAAGGGTGTACCTGTCTTTTATATATCCCATTAGATGGACACCAAAGACAGAACAGCAAGAAAAAGAAGTAACTGTTGAAATTCCCTAGGATGTTTCTCCCTACATTCTAGATTTCTTTGTGCTCAAGACAGGTGTCATATACTGACAAGCACAGTCCCTTGATATCTGTTGAAACCTCAGGCACCTCCTGAGCAGAATCCCGAAGTCTGCCTTCCCAAAGGTGCTGAGACAAACCAGTGTCTCTTACTCTCCTCCTACCTGCTACAGTCATGCCAACTGGTTTATGGTCTGGGACGCCCTGGTTTATGGTCTGGGATATCCTGGTTTATGGTCTGGGATGCCCTGGCCCATGGTTTGAGTGCCCAGCCCCAGGTGTTGGTAGCTTCTGTAGATGCCAGCACAAGCTGAGGTGATGGAGCACATTGCAAACTGTGGCCTGTAAAGCTTAATCCCAGGCTGGATTTTTCATAAATCCCACAGCTCGTGTGTCTTTCCAAGGGATTTTCTGTAAGCAAGTGCACTTCCCTGATTTCTCTCTCCTGCCAAGGTGAAGGGGAGGAGGAGAGAAAAGGATGGGGTTTTGCTGGTGAAATGCAAACATTTGAGGAGAACAGAAGAGTGGAATCCTTGGCTTTGTCTGCAAGTGTGCAGATTTCCACTCAAGCTGAGATGACTGCAAGGGGATGGTTCACTTGGGACATCTAGGCTGATGTCTCCAGGCCACTAAAAACCCTTCAGTGTCATGCATGAGGAAAGCACGTCCCTCTCCAAGAGCAATGCTAAACATTTTTAAGCAGCAACGTAATTGCTTCACAAGCTGGCAAAAAGATGGAGCTGAATTAAAAAATCCTAATGGCAGGGAAAATTTTATGGTGAAAGGCTGGTCTGCGTTGTTTGCAGATATTACCGAGAGAGAATTTTTCCATGTTCTCCCATAAGGTTAAACAGTGAAATGAAAAACTGTAAAGCAAGGGTAGGAAAGGTGCCAAAAAGGGGAGGTGTTGAGAGGAAGGAAAGAAAACTTCACCATTTTATAGATGCACAGCCTTAAATAAAAGTCAAAGCTTTCAATCTGCTGAGGCCCAAGTGTGGGACTAAGATACGATGTGAGATACACTACGGTTAAAGCAAGAAGGGAAAAATTTAGTGACTGTGATCTGCTTCCTTTTTACAGAATTACCTTCACTTACTACTCAGCTTCAAGAAGCGTATTTCGGCAATGAGTTGTTTATGTGAATTGTGCTTCCTTTTTACAGAATTTTACAGAATTACCTTCACTCAGCTTCAAGAAGCGTATTTCGGCAATGAGTTGTTTATGTGAATTGTGTCTCATGGGAAAGAAAGGCTCTGTCCCCAGTGCAAAGTGGAAGAGGCACTTACCTGCCAAGAGCACCTTGAGACTGTGCTTGAAAAGCCACTGGCAAGTCATGAGCACAAAGATCTGCTTTTACTCCCAGTTTGAGTGAGGCCTTGGCCTCAGCCTCTCACACCAAGGGATAATGACTTCAGTTAAATAAATGGCATGCTCCCCAAAAGAATATAGCAGAATTACCTTAAAGTTTGATTATGTGTAGTAACAGAGATGTCCAAGAGTGGGTTCTCAGTCACGATGTCTCCGTACAAGCCAGAATTTAGCCAAGCTGAGCGGGTTCGCCTCTTTTTCTTCTCTTGTTCCTTACGTTTTCCAGGCTTTGCTTTCTTTTTCTTCCCTGACACCTTCAGGGGCTGCTCCTTGTAGGTCTGTGATTTGTTTGTCTCCTGAGTTAGGTATCTGCCCTCATCTTCGCTGCCAAACCGGACAGGGTAGTTCTTGGTGTTGGTGGCGGGTTTAGGGTTAGGTGACACCTCTGACGTTGCACGGATCTCTGCAGTGTTGACACCTTCAATTAAATTTTGAAGGAATATTCTTCTTCGTAAGTCTTGGATTGACTTGCCCTTGTCATGCAATAGCTGGTGCTCTGATACGGCTCGTTTGCTAAAAGAAGAAAAGAGAGGAGAGGGAAAAAAATTATTTACAATTTGTTTATTGCCCAGTGTTTGGCAGAGCTCCTCTCTTCTCTGGCTGTGGTGGCCACAGTGACCATGTACCAGGTTTGGAGACATCCAGTGAAGCCAGACTGCTGGAGCAAGTCCTGCTTCATCCTCAGAGTAGCTGCTCTCAGCAGAGAAGAGATAGACCTAAGTGGGTAATAATTCTCAGCTGACCGATCACACACCACTGGAGCTGGATTAGTCACTGCTCTGTTCTAGGAAAGCATCATGACTCTTAATATATCACACTTGAGGCAGTAAAAGCAGGAAGGCAGTTGTCAGAGATAGGAAAACTAAAGGGTCAGATAATGCAGCAAGGGAGGGAAAACCCAGCACATGTACTGGAGCCGGAAGCAGTGTTTATACAACATCATTCTAGTGATTTTCTTCTGCTCAGTCGTGTACTTCAAAAACATAAACAAGCACATAAAAGTGCATTTTACTCCTGTATTTAAAGAAGAGCAAATGCAGGAGTGTAAGGGAAAGATGTTTGAATTTGGGTGCCTAAAGCACAGGCACTTCAGTCCATAATGATCTATCCAAGGAGGCAGCCTGAGCATCAGCAGAGATGAGCCTCAGCCACTCCTGTGGATTTACTGCTTGGTCACTTGTGTCTAATTATGGTTTTAGATGCCCTCCTAGTATTGCTTGAAGTGTGAACTTTTGGGGCCAAATTTCTTGTGTGCTGTGCTGTTTGAATTTTATGCAAACCCTCTTCACTGGATCTTTTTCAAGAGCATCCTGGTTTGTTAGAGTGGTTTTTCCAGAGTTCATCCTGACCTTTTGGTACACTGAGCTCTGTCTTGTTTTCAAGGAATTGGGAGCTGAGTAGCTATCTGTCTTTTAGAGATGTTGTACTGGCAAGGAATGTATTAAACATCTGAGGAAAGAAGATACAAATGACACCTGGATAATAAATAACCAGAGAAAATGTGAGAAAATACATGACTTTTTCTTGAAGTGGAATAGATGCACAGCTGTGCTGTGAACCACAGACAGAGCACAAGCTGGGATTTTAGCTACGTTCCCATGAATGCAATAATACAGTTTATCCTTCCAATTGCTCTACTCCAGCATGCAGAGTTTGGCTATGGAATCTCTCCTCTTGAATCAGGGTATGGCAATTTACTGGATTCTCACCGGCCAAAGAAATTCCATTCACTGCTTTTCTTGTCCTATAATCATTTGGTCAATTAGCTGGGTAAGAAGTGGTTTCTGCACGTGGGTGAACTGGAAGAAGACACTTCATTGGGAGTGAATACTCCTTCCATCCCATCCCTCTTTTTCCTGCTATGTTACCAGATTTGAAAATACAAAATATTTGGGAGTGTTTTGCAGGTTCTCTTTCTCAGTCCCCTCAGCCAAACTCTTCAGGTTTGTGACTTGATCAACAGTAGAGCTATTGGAAGTTGGCAATTTCACGTAGCTCTGTTTTAAGGGCATCCCCTTCAATTTCTGTCTTTGTAGAGCTGCACTTTTTGTGTATTGGGTTCAAGTGATGGATTGAAGTGATACTACATCTTCATTGCTCAGTGCAAAATTCAAACAGCAGCTTTCCCCCATTCCAACATGACTGGAAGATAACTGTCAAAATCTTCCTTAAAATCAGCTCTGCATATACAGAGGTTTGTGAGTACACACGTAATCAAATATTGTCTGTGTTTTAAGTGTCCCAAAATCAGCATCTTTATTGCTCAGTGCAAAATTCAAACAGCAGCCTTCCCCCATTCCACAATGAGACTGGAAGATGACCGTCAAAATCTTGCTCAAAATCAGCTCTGCATATACAGAGGTTTGTGAGTACACACGTAATCAAATATTGTCTGTGTTTTAAGTGTCCCAAAATCAGTTTTGGATTACTTCAGCCTTTAGGACAAATATTTTATGCCCCTCTTCTAAATGTCCCTAAGCAAAAATGCAATGTGACAATGCTAAGCTGGTCCCATATCTTGTCTTTCTCTTCAGTGCAGCTGTGACCATTAACACAAGCTCGTGATCTCCCTCAGAAGCAGTTTTTTGAACAAGAGCGATCTCCAACACCCTTCTCATTAGGGTCAGTCTGACTGGCAGGTAGGCCAATAAAACCAGCACCCTGGGCTCCTCTGTGCCACTGCCTCTGTGCTGCCTGACAGGCTGTCCAGTGTGACTCAGGTTACATTCCCAGCTCTACTAGCCTATTTTCTCAGGAAATCTGCATGGGAAATGCAGTTCTGCTTTCACTCTTCTAGTTCATAGAAAGTGTATGAAATCTCTGTGCTTTAGGGAGTGTAAACCAGTGTCTCATGTGATGAGCAAAGCTTTCCTACTGCCTCTTGTGAACTACCAAGGATAATTCCTTCTATCACAAAGGAAAAAAGCTGCCTTAATCCTCTAATGTGTATTTGGTCAACTTCCCCACTGTGACAAAATCTTGACTCTCCAAAGCCTGTTATTAAAGTCCTCTTGATTGAAAACCTAATCCATTTTACAGAGCTGAAACCTAAACATTTGGTTCCAGTACACACAAGGCAGTCAGAGAGCATTACAAGATCTACATCTTGAGTGAGTATGCATTTCCAAAATAATGCAGGGATTGACGTGTGAGGGATTGGTGTGCCAAACAGGGTAGGTTTCTCTTTAAATGTCTGTATGATATTTAGCATCAAGTCTGGCCCCAAATAACATTCTGCTATTCCAGATGATTGTATAACATTATGTAGTGTTACATTTCACATGACTTTTATTACTCAGCCAGACTTAAGGATTACATTTTGCCTACCAGCTTCCTTTGTATACTCTAGACCAAAAAAACCTCCTTGAAACAAAGATGTGGTAGATAAGTATCTCTTTGACCTTCTGCCTCCTTCTGCCTCAGTTATTCAAACAACTCCTGTGTTTGTAAGTCATGGAGAAAGGCTTGCCCAAGAGGACTGATGTAAGAAGTGCTGCATAATGGAGATATCAACAATATCTCACCCACACACTCAGAGTAGGAAGGCAATGGAGACTGCAGTGATTGCATTCACATATTGGCCACAATATGGAAAAAAACATTAGGCTGTTAGGGTTAAGATGACCCACTAGAGGTCCCTTCCATCCTTCTATAAAACACACCTCTCATCCAAGGAAAAGGATCCTGTACCCAAACCAAGAGCAGTAAATGCTAAGCTTACATGTGGCAGACACTTTTGAGAGAGGGATGTTGATGGTTTGTACTTGACCAGAGCATCCAAACTAATTACTGCATCCAAGTACACTGTGTACATATGAGGCTGAGTGTCTCATCATGGGGACAGCAGCAGAAATCCATGACTTGTGGCTATCCTGATTTCACGTACTTCCAGATAAGCTGCTCTTTTCAGCCACATTCCTCCTTCTTCTTTTTTTTTTTCCTTGCATTATATCTAGCATTTCTAAAAGGCAACCATCTTCAAGCTACAGCTTTCTATCTCAGAGAGCTGCTCTTATTTAGCTGTTATTATCCTTGACTGTTCATGTTGGGTCTGATCCCAAATTCAGCAAAATAACTGAGGAGGATTCAGTCAGCTCTCTGTATTTTGCAAGACTGAGTGCCCTTGCCACTGACTCCAAAGGGAGGGAAATCTGCTCAACCTATCTCAGGCTTCAGAAAAATATTTTGAACAGATCTAGGGACATGATGCTGCGATGTCTGGACATGATGATAAAAATATGTAATTTCATTTTGAGGCATTACTGGTTTCTCAGAAGTTCTTTAGCAGCTAAAGCACTCCTATAACAAATAACATGTCTGGAAAACTTTTCTTGGGACAATTTGCTATTGCTTTCCATGAGATATTTGCTTCAGCAAAGTCTGTAGAACCAGGCCTATGTAATTTTGATTATTTTTGCATGTCTATAATAATGTGCTTCAGTATTTTCATCCATTACTGGCTTAAGTTTTTGACTGAGAAAAAAAAATCTCAAAGCCTAAATGAGTTATTAGCCATTAACTCTAGGAATGGTTTGTGGTGGTATTAAAACAGGACACATGTTTGAGTGTGGTGTCTGTGTTTGTGCTGTGCCCACAAACAAAACTACATGAATGCCACTAACTGACAGCTGACTGGTTTCTTGTGTGTGTTTTACAAGCCAGAGCAAAGAGGGAGCTGAGAAATGCGTTTTCACTGGTTAACTTACACTTTTCTTCCCCCCTGTCAGGACAGAATGGGGAAGTTGGGAAGACCTCTAATCCTGACCTTTAAAAACAAGTGTTAGAACTACGCTAACTTCAAAAAGAGAAAGAGTATTTCTCTGCAAATCTATATTTTTTTTAAACAACCAATTTTGGCTTAGATCCAGTTCAGAGTTTCCTAGCCAAGAAAATAACAGCATCTAACTGCACTTCAACCATTTTATTTTTTTAAATTTATTTTTTAAACTTAAGTTTAATTTCTCTATATAATATGGTCCCAAAAGAAAGAAATAGCCCAAGAACAGCTTTCAGGAGTACAAAGCAGTTAAAGGTTAATGGACTGAGAATAATACACTGTAACATTATCAGCAATAACATGTTCTACACAATTTGCTGTAGGAGATTTGTAATAGCTCTCTGCCTGGTGCCAAAGTTTAGGTGTGTCTGAAGTCGCTTCACCTGGGGTATTTTTTTTTTTCTTTTGTGTGTTTGGGGTTTCTTTTTTTAATTATTATTATTATGTGTGTTGCTTAACTGGCAGAGGAAATGCTATTTGGGGACTTGTCCTTATGTATGCAATAAAACATTTACAAGGAAACCCATCTGAAATTGTTTGCTGTGTCATGTTTCCCTGTAAGTTGTGATCGGATTTTCCAGCGCTCTTTCTCCAACTTGGCTTCCTTTGGAACTGAATAACAATACAGCCCTCCCCAGTGTGACTGAGGTGTTTCTTCCTTAGAAAATCTGATGCAAGTCCAGAGAAAGCCAGCGAGTTAGATGTGCGAGACAGCTGCTCCTGCATCAGTGCAGAGGCTTCTCCTGCACTTTGTGTATGGGTATTGCTATAAACCGGGCTGATTATTTTGGAAGAAGCAAAAAGGTCATTTCCTGAACAGACTGTCTTAAGTTACACTATCATTTATCAAAAAATATTCCTCTGCCTATAAGTAAGATACTGGACTCCCTTTGGATTTTTTTCCCTCTGAAGTGGCAGAAATCCAAAGAAATTGTTCAGTACTTCAGTGTCATGATGGCCCTCACTTCTGCATGTTTCCCCTACCCCTATCAATATTGGCTCCACGCCAGAGCCGAGGAAGTGTCTGTAAGTTAGTGCAACACACAGCATTTGGATAAACCGGGATGCTCCCTGCGAGGGTCCCGGGCAGCTGCGCAGCAATCACCCAGGTGTGTCGGAGGAGAAGCCCCTCAGCTTTCACACGGCCTCCCCCAGAGCTCTGCAAGGCCAGAGAGCTGCAAAGCGCCTTTTCCCTGCCCCGAATATGCTCTCAGGTGAGCACCTGGGGCAGGTAAGCCCCGCGCAGAGCCGGCAGCGCTGCGGAGCCTCCCGGGCTCCCTCCCTCCCTCCTTCCCTGCTCCCCACCCGCCCCGCGGCCGCAGCGAGGGCGAATAAAGGCAAAGAAGAAAAAAAAAAAAGAAAAAAGAAAAAGAGGAACTCACAGTCTGCGGCTGATCCCCTCCACTGATCTCCCGTAGGAGGGCACGGAATAACTCAGCAGGAACACAGCGAAACTCCACTGCTGGAAGAGTTTAGCGAACATTGTATCCCCCGGGGCTGAAAACCTGCAAGGAAAGAGAGGTCAGTCCCGAGGGACAGATGCGCCAGCGCCGTCCTCAAGGAGTCCCCGCTTCGGCTCTACCAGCTCCGAGGCTCTGAAGGAAAAACAAACTTTCTGAGCTCTCGGCTCACTCCTTCCAAACTTCGCTCTGTCTCTCTCCCTTCCTTGCTGTCTGCCTCTCCCTCCCTCCCTCTTTCCCTCCCTCCCTCCCTCTCTCTGTCTCTCGCTGCCCGCAGGCAAGATCTCTCTCGGTATTAGTTCAAAAAGCATCGAGCTCTCGTTTGAACAGGGTTAGAGCGGGGTTCAGCGAGTTCCCTGAGCCCTGTTTAGTTCTAGTCCGCTAAGCCACTCTCTCAGGGCTTCATGCTACAGCAGAAGCCCTCTTTGCAGATAAGGAAAGATTCCCAAAAAGTCAGCTCAGCTTCTCTGTAAACACTCGCGGACACACAAACACACACACACAGACAGAGGCGGAGGGGGAATGCATCTCCACATCTGCCTTTCAGTATACCTCTGCAAAAAAAAGGGTCAGGTTCACGTCCCCAGCTGCCAGAAAGTTTTGGTCCCCAACAGTGACAAGGAGAGAGAGACAAGCGGTGACAAGGAGAGACAAGCAAAGGTCGCTGCCTCTCTGGAGAGCCCGAGAGCTCTGGGAGGAGCGGCAGCCCCGGGAGGGAGGCTCGGGGGCTGGGAAGCACGCTTGGCTCGGCAGGTTGGACCGGGCTGCAGCCCGCGATGTTCACACGCTCCGGAGCAGCCTCCGGGAGACCTGCGGGAGCACGGAGGGTTTTGCAAAGAGATGGCGCCCTAGGAACATGTGCGGAGAGAGCGAGAGCCCGGGCGGGATACCCACAGCCAAAACGGAGACTGGGAACCAGCGCTTCCCGGGCCCGCAACCAAAAAGGAGCGAAGAAAGGGAAACTCCGGGCAGCACACGCACCCAGCGCGCCCCAAGGACTCGGAGCGAGCTCTCCGCATCCTCTGCAGCCGCGCTCCTCTCTCGCTCACCTTCCAGCTCCCCCTTTCTGTGTTTACCCCCGGGTCAGCGTCTCCCCTGCCGCGGGGGTTCCTCCCATCGCTGGGAGCACTTTTTAGCTCAAGCCCCAAAGCGCTGCCCGGGACTGCTGCCGCCTTGCCTTGCACGCACCTACCGTGGCCGCTCGCCGTTCCCCTATTAGCCGGAGGGTCGGTTCCTAATGATGCTAATTGTACGCTAGTGAAGGGAGGGGGAGCTCGGGGGAGGGCTGGGGGAAGGACTCGCGGTCTATGAACACAGGCGCTCCTGGCCAAAAAAGTAAACTAGTGGAAAGTTTTCTCCTCCTCTCCCTTTTTCGCCTTCCACTTCGCCCTCCTTCAGCCTGGCCAGGGCGCTGCAAACCGCTGCGTCAGGTTGCGCTCCCGTGCGAGGCGGGCAGCGCCGCGGGGCTGCGGGGACAGCGGTGGCCGGAGCGGCGGGGGACCAGCCCCGGCCAGCCCTGGCCAGCCCCGGTCAGCCCCGGCCAGCCCCGGTCAGCCCCGGTCAGCCCCGGTCAGCCCCGGCCACCCCCGAACCCCGCCGGGCACCGCCGGACGACAGCCCCGCACCCCCCGACGGAGGCACCAAACTTTTCCATCCCGGGACAACACTCGTGGAAAGCCGAAGGGGACGCGGCCCGCCAGCCTCTCCAGCCTGCTGGTGCGAGGAGCTGCCCCGGCAGCTGCTCCAAGGGGACACGGGGACACAGCCGGCGGGCAGCGCGCCCCTCGCCCCCGTCCCGGCCGCTCTCCCGGAGGGAATGCCCATCTGCACGGCCATCTCCTCACGTTCGTGCCGGCACACCTGGGGATGCCAGCTCGGTGCCCGCAGCATCCCGGGAGCCCTCGCCCCTCCGCCCCGGAGCCTCCCCGGAGAGCGCGGCGGGGCCGGCGGGGTCGCTGGCTGTGCCGCTGACAGCCTGATTTACAGGGAATGCTTTCCCAACGCCCTCGCCAGCCGCAACAAAACACTGAGGCGTGCCGGCTGGTGGCTCCTTCTCATCCTGCCCCCGAATTAAAGCAGGCGCTCCGAGGAGGTTTAGGCGCAAAGCGAAGCGTTTTTCTACCTGCAGGTTATTTGAAGTTAAACGACGCTCGCTGACACGATTTAAAAGCCCAGATTCCGCACCACACAGGCAAATAAAAGCGACAGCATATGAGCTGGAATAGAAATCATGCTGAAAACATTAAATCGTTTATGCTGTAAATAAATTCCCTGAGCACCTGGTAGGCTATAAATTAAAACGTATAGCTAATAGGCGTCTTTGATTTACACTGCCCCTTCGACTAATTAAAAATAATTGTGACATCCCCAGAAAATAACCCACACAAACTCATAAGGTGTATTGCTCACATTAAAAGTAATACTTCCATCAAATATTTTTTCCTCTCCCCAGAAATGATTGAAAAAAAAAAATACACCAAAAACCAACACACATCATCTTTTACAGACTCAGGAAAAATAAATTGCCTCTACAAACTCAGAATCCTGAAATTTCTTCTCAATTTATCACTTCACCTTTTCCTTGAGTTACAGCTGTCTGTGCCTCTCAGAGATCACTCTGGCCAACAGTGGTTGCTCTTCTCAGCAATCGCTTCCAAAATTATGTTCTATGTTTAAGAAGGAATAAAATGGGGAAAAAAATTTAAAAAAAGAAAAAGAAAGAAAAAAGAAGTTAAATGAATAATAATAATAAAAAAAAATAAAGGCAATATTTTCAAAAATCCAGCCGACAGAGCTTTGATTCTGCCTGCAACAGATTAGGGCTAAATAAAGGGTGTTAAAAGCAGGTGCTTTTCTCCCTTGCTGCTCTTTTTATTATGAAGAACAGAAGCTTCCCCTAATATATATAGTGAGGGAGACCCTTCTCCATTGCTTTTATTGAAAAGACCAAACTTGTGACATCACTAACCACCTTCCTATGGCTGAGTTTGCCTCTTCTCTGCCTCAGTGGGCTTGGGAGGAAAAAAAAAAAAAAAAAAAAAGGAAGAGGGAAAAGAAAAAAAAAAATAACACAACCCAACTGTGGCTGTGCTAATACGGCAGGATCTGAGCAATGCCAAAGGCTTTTGGGAGGCTCATTATCACCCACTGTCCCCCCTGCTCCCGAGGGCTGTCACCTGCCACGTACACAAATGAGCGAGCTCACGTACCCGTGAGCAAACTCCTGGTCCCAAGCCCCACCGCAAGCCTGAGCCCTCCTCCGCGGCAGGCTGGGGAGAGAAGACCCCTGAGCTGGGGTTTGCACCTTCCCTTCCCGCAGGATGCCGCGGGAGATGCTCTCCCGGCAGGGACCCGCCGCGCCTGCAGCCTCTCCCCGGCCGGCCCCGGGTCCCCGGCCCTCGGAGGGGTGGGAAGGGATGAGGCTGGACTAGAGGATGGACCGGCGGAGCTTTGGGCGCGATTCCAGTCCCCACACCTGTGCCGAGCACGGCTCCGCTCCCGGAGCGCCCAGGGCCCGGTGTCTGGGGAGGGAAAGCCCCACACCCTCGGGGCTGTCACCTGCGGGCCCGGGGCCGGCAGGGCTCCCGCCGAGGCGAGCAGCCCCTGCCGCTTGTTTCTCCAGCCGGGACAAAACCGGTGGTTTTGTCTGACCCGGGAAAGGCTTCAGCAGTGGAGAGGCGAGGCAAAACCCCGTGCTTGCCCTCCCGGCCAAGCCCTGTCTGCCGCGACAAGGCAAACTTTATCATTGTAGGTTTTCTGACTCCACTATCTCCCGTCTTCCCGCCTCAAACACAATGAGATTTTGGAGGGATGCCGCGCTTGGCTTCTGCCTCCTTTTTCCATACGTATAAACAGGCATAAATCAGCTTTTCTAGGAGGAAGTTGACCTGGGAGCTTGGCTAGAAAGATAAGTCCCTGTCCCAGGTTTTCCCGAGCGGGGAATAGGGCCAGGGGTGTGACCGGCTCCCCCCAAAAGCCGCTCTAGGAGCGAAACAAAAGCCAGCAAGTGGGACAGGTTCAGCTCCCAGGGGAGAGGTGCCCTTGCAGCCTCAGGGAGGGAAATAATGACTAAACCCCCGCTCGGAGACGGCTGAATCCTCAGCCCCGCGAACTTCCCATCCTTCACCTCCGCGAAGTTCCGCCTCTCCCTCCTCCCTCTTGTTTTATTCACAATAAAGCATTTTCGTCATTTCCCCTGCCGGATTTCTATAACCTCAGTTGCACCCGTCCAGGGCTTCGGTTCAGACGGGGAGTTTAACCTCCCCAGTCTTCCCAGGGCGGAAAAAATGGTGTTCAGCAAAAAAACACGGGCGTGCTGACGGCTGGGGAGTCTGGCGGGGAAGGGAAGGGAGCGGCACCGCAGGGATTGTTGGACTCGTCCTGCGAGCCCCAGAAATCCCCGGACTTGCTCAGCCCCTCTGATCCAGCCGGGTTAAAACCAGCGGGCTCGGCTCTCGGCAGGCCAGGCGCGAAGCCCCGGAATATTTTTCCAAGGCTCCCAGGGCGGGCTTGAGGACAAGGCTGCGGTGCAGCTGGGAGCAGGCACGACTGCTGGCAGGCTGAGGCAGACTTTCTAGCACACACTCATTCTTGCCCACGACCTAGCCCTGCTGGGCTCTGCAGCGCCCGGCTCTCATGACGGGCTCTCCCCTCCTCCGTCGGGAGTGAGAAACTTCCCTCTTCCACGTCTGACATGCTGTCATCTTCGCATGGAGTGAAAGGATTGCTCGGGGAGAAAGAGAAACCCGCTTTTCCCCTCCCCGCCAGCCAGCCCCAGACGTTCTGTGGTGCTCCATGCGAGCACATTAATCTCCTTTATTAAGCAGTGTTAGAGTGCCTGAGCAGAGCCCCTCTCGCACCCGAGGGCCGGCGGATCCCCCCAGCCCAGCCACTGACACAACGCGCCGCTTTTTTAGACAATACACATTTAATTTAATGCACTCGAGAAAGGGCGGGCGGGGCCGGGAGGGGGTGAAGCAAAAAACACAAAAAAGCTGCGTGGAACTGAGGAGAGCTTTGCCAAAGCTTCTGTCTGGCTCCTAGAATCCAGCAGACAGCGAAAGGAGTAATTTTCAGATTTGGTGGCGCGGGGGCGCGGAGGATGCCCGGGGCTGCCCTGCCCCGCAGCGCCCGGCGGTGCCGCGGCCGGCCGAGCTCCAGCCCCGGGGCGCTGTCCATGGTGGTGCGGCCACGGCCCGGAGCTCCACCTTCCCTCTCTGCTAGGGCTGGCCTTGACTTCAGCTTGAAACAGATCTTGAGCTCTTTTTTCTTCCCTTTTTTTTTTTTTTTTTTTTTTCCTGGGATATTTTTTTTTTTTTTTTTTTTTTTTTCCTGGGATATTTTTTTTTTTTTTTTTTTTTTTTTCCTGGGATATTTTTTTTTTTTTTTTTTTTTTTTTCCTGGGATATTTTTTTTTTTTTTTTTTTTTTTTTCCTGGGATATTTTTTTTTTTTTTTTTTTTTTTTTCCTGGGATATTTTTTTTTTTTTTTTTTTTTTTTTCCTGGGATATTTTTTTTTTTTTTTTTTTTTTTTTCCTGGTATATATTTTTTAATTTTTTTTTCTTTCTTTTCCCCTTTTACTGAATATCTATCAAATACCAACAGGAAGAAACGTGTCTGGTCTGTTTAACTCACACAAAGCTAATACCAAGTTGGGCTGGCTGGAGAACAAGAATTCAATTTAAAGAAGGGGGGCGGCGGGGAGATTTGCAATTTGTTTTTGTGCTATGTTGGAACAAAATCCATCCCTTTAGACACTTTTCTGAGACGAGACAGACTCACCTCCTGCCTTGGAATAGCTTAGTGGTTAATGTACTCATCCGGGCTGTGGGACACAAGAGGTCAAGCCCTCCCTTTCTCTGATTCAGAGTCCTAATTCCTGGACTCTCGGTTTCTCTCAGTCCCCTCCCATCCCAGACCTAAAACCCTTTCCGATTTTATTTGTGATGAATTGATATTTTCCAATGGGTGAAAACTGAATGCTTAATAAAGGAAAAAATTCCCACCTAACAGTCACTCTGAGAAGTTATTCCTGGATTTATTTTCTTTTTTTGGTTAAACAAGGAGAAGTCCAGCCAGCCATCATACAACAATGGAAAGGAATTGAAAGTTGAGAAAAGAAGGGGTGAGCTAAGAAAAAGTCTCCTTCTCTAGAGACTCTTGGATAAGCCCTCTTGGATAAGCCTTGTCTCTGCAGCAGG